TCACTTGGCCGTGTGTCAAAGCTAGGCACCGCCGGCCCTGTTTCAACCACTCTGGAAGATTCCAACTGGCTTGACACATAAGTGCCTTGTCCTTTGAAGTGTTTGCGCTTTGTCCGCCTTTAAAATCCATCAGAACGGGGGGGGGAGTTCAAATGGCGAACCTTTTTTGGGTGTTCAAGGATTTTTGGGGAGTCCCTATTTTTGTCTGTGTGAATTGATTCTGGGAAATATGTGCAAGAAAACAAACAGCAACGGTGAGACTACAAATGTCTGTGCAAATTTCTGCAAGGTCCCCATAATTTGCTCAGGCAAAATGGAAACACCCAGGTCCTGTACGTCCTCCTCATCCTCGTCTTCGAAGTCCTGCAAAAAAACAACAACAACCATCATCTAGTATGAAGTCAGGATCTCGAAAGCAGCTGGGGCAAATCCACATGGTCGTGCCTTCTGGAGGGCTCCCGTTGGTTTTAGAAGCCCAAGAGAAACTCCTTGAGGGGCTCCCTGAGACAATTGAATTGGACCCGCCAGGATGGCACCAATCAAACTCGGAGAGGCCCACTGGGCACAAAAGCTGAGCGTTGTGAACATGATGCCGCATGCAATCGAGTCCCTACTCTACATGCGAGAAAAAGCGCGGAAAAACAAAGACGCGAGACGGACCCCGTGTTGGCCCTCGTTACTTGGAAGAAATCATTGAAACATCTGAGTCGCCAGTACAAAGTGAAGTGCGGCTCACTTTGTCTATTTCTTCAATTCAAAGCGCAAAACATATTTTGGGCTCTAAATCAAACAGTCTTGTCGGTACCAGCCAAAACCACGGCTTTCATCTTTTGACACAAGAAACAGGTGCAATATGGTTCTGTACTTAAACACCGGACTAAGTCATAGTCATATGGGAATAAAGCGTGTATTCCTTAAGCCCCGATACCTCTTTGGGGGGGCCTTTCATGGTCACTGTTCAACCCAAGGAGAGCCTTCCTGGGTGAGCTCAATTTGGCCGAACGACAGCTCCCAACCCCGAAAGCGGCGCCTCCTCTTCACTCCGGATCTGCGAGGCGAGATGCGTGGACATGTCAGCACGCATCTTGCGTGCGAATCCCAACAGCTTTGGCTCGGAAACACCATAGACAGAGGCAAAGGTTCAAAAGACCTGCCAGATTCTTTCTTGATCATGTTGACCCTTCAGACACATAGAAAATGATCATGGGCCATCATGGGTGGCCCATTTAGTGGTGGAAGTCATAATGCGTTGGTGGTTTCCCTAATGCCCTAATGGTCATCCCATGTTTAGCGCACCTTTTGATCAATCCCCAGTTCTGTAGTCCTTCAGGTTATTCCGGCGCGTAAAGAACAAAAAAGAGACTTTGGTGGTTTGGAGCCGAATCGGTGATGTTCCGGGGCTGGTTTCCCATGTACCCTCTACAGGAAGGGCGCCAACACCCAAACCTTCAATCCACCCACTTGGGGGGAGGGCAACTTGATCAAAGGCCAAGCTCCTTCCAGCCTCCTTACTGAGGAATGCTCAGATGCTTCATCCAGTCACCGACCCACTTCTCCCGAGACTCGGTTTCGGCACCAGGGATGTCCTCAATGAAAAAACACAGGAATCACAAAAAAGCTGTTGCCTGATCCGGCCACACACACACACAAACAAAAATCGGAGAAACGCCTGCTTTCCGCCATGCGTTGTGGAAATTATGTGCGGCTCACATGGGACAACTTGCCTTCCGAGCAAAGATTTGGCTCCAGGTTCCCGAAAGAAGACGAGTTCTGTCGCCTCAAGGGCAACCTACGGGGTATCTGCACGATTTTTTCACGCGCAGCCCGAATGGAGCACAGTGACAGGGCACTTTGCTTGGAATCGGCGGCTGTCCGGGTGACGGTTGCTCCAATGGAAGTCACTCGCGAGAAAGCTGCACTTCAAGGATCATGTTCCGAAAGGAATCCACCTCTCGAATTGGTCAAGACCCGTGCCCAAGACCGAGCAGGGGTCCCTTTAAAACCCCTCAAAAATAGGTACCCTCAAGAAACACACACACACACACATGATGAGGCTAAAAGGCGCGGATCAAAACGGTGATCAAAACCAGTCCGGCACTTGCACATCTCCAAAGAATCTCCTCGCTCCACTTCTCACTCATTGGCCACAGCCAGAAGGCTCGACTGGCCACACTCGATTGGGAGCTTTTCTTGGATGATGTTTGACTTTCAAAAAAACGAAGGCTTCTAGATTCTAAAACTGCGAGCTTCTCTTGGATGATGTGTGAAGTAATATATTCCAAAAAAAGCAATCCCCTGAAGGCTGCTAAAACGAACTCCAGGGATGTGCCTTGCCCTGCTCAAGAACCAAAAGAAAAAGAAGAAGAAAAAAACTGAGCCCCGCCTGTGGGCTCCTTTGGCCCGGCACAAAGCAGAAGTCATGGAAGGCTTGTGACATGGCGCCCCTGGATAGTCTGGCCACTGGACGGTCCACTCGTGGCGGAGCCACTAGCGGTCCTGTCCGGCAACGTTGGGACTGAAAGTCTTCAGCTGCTGTGGGCTGTAAGGCTATGATTGGCGCCCAAAGCCCATTTCTACCTCAACAGGTGTTGCCGCATTGCCCCAACCAGTATAACGTGATTCATTCTGGCAAATAGTGAACCTTGAGATGTAAACGAAATCCAAAGATATGCCAGATGTCCAGAGGTTCTAGCCCTGTCACGGAGCCTCCAATGTTGGCCGCAGCGAGTTGTAGAGACCAAGTACGAGGGAATCCATAGGTACAGGTTGGATGACACGGCTGAAGGGACCTCTTGAGCTTGCAGATTTCAAGCTGAGAACTCTATGGCAAACCCGATCAACGAAAATACTCTAACGCGACCTGACTAGTGCGTGTCTATGTGTGTGTTGTGTGGCTGAGTGGCTCTCCGGTGAGAAAAGTCTCATGCAAGAATCAGGTCAAAACAGTAAAGCAATAGCTGATAGCATGCCCGATATGGTCACATATGCACAGAATGCAAGGCGCTGGTCAGGTCAGTTGTTCAAGGAAAGAAGCCGTAATTGTCCTCAAACATTTGTGGGTGTCTCGCAAAATCGGCCTGATTTGAGGACATTCCCACGCGTCCAGGTGAATTATAACCACGCGCCGACTCACAACAATGGTTCTGCTTCATTCCAGCTGAGGCTGCCAAACACCTGTTTGAGGTTGCCGTGATTTGCCCCAATGAGTACTGTTTGGACTGAGGGGTGTCGTCATTTTGAGATATACTTGAGTATTCATATACTTTATATACAGTATGTATATATATATACAGTATGTATATATATATATGCGTTTGCAACTCAACCGGCGTGCTAGGTTCATCCTTCACAATCCTCTCAACGTTATGCGACTTTAATAAATTCAAGGGCTCAGAAGAAAGAGGGCAGAGCCCTACAAATGGGTGTAACTTGGCAACTCACACCAATTGACGTGTACATCGGCATGTTCATGAATTCACAGAAACCATGGCAACACTCGGGATAAACCGAAGGCCATGCCAAAAGGGGAGATCCCTGGTTATCTTGGGTGGGTTCGCTTGGGTTACCTGTCAATTGGCCCGTCCAACCTGCCCCAGCCCTGGGCTCAGGCCGCGGCGACCCGCCAAGGGCGGGCCCTGGCTTCGTGATTTCAGGCCAAATCAAACTTATCGGCTGCCGGTGCTCCAAAGATTCGGGAACAAATATCGAAAATGGGGCCATGAAAAAAGAGAGGACCTAATACCAATTGTCTCGCACTCAGACACACACACACAGACACACTGGTGGTTTGGCCATGATTCTGGAAGTTCGGAGCAAGCCTGGCTAGAAGCGTCACTGCCCTCTGTCCTGGGGTATCTTGGGATCTGGCAGACGCTTCACAAACTTGGAGCAACTCTTCAAAACGATGCCGCAAAGCCGGGACCAGGCGTCAACTAGACACCTAAGTTATGCGCCCTCCTTCCTTCCAAAGATGATGGTTGGAAAGAGGGGAGCGCGAGACTCACTTGAATTCGGAAGCTGAGCTACTTTTGCGAGGGGAAGCCCTGTGTCGGCCGTACACAAAGATACTGCTGCCCAACGGGCAACTAAACAGTGCGGCTTGGCTTCGGGAGACGCATGGAAAGCAAAGAGAAAGTGACGGAGAATGAAGGAAGAAGAGAAAGAAAGCCTACAAGAGAGAAAGACAGAAAGGGAGAAGGAGAGAAAGCGAGAAAGAGAGGAAGAGAGGAAGAGAGGAAGAGAGGAAAGCAAAAGAGACAAAGAGACAGCAAGAAAGAATAAGCAAAGGAAAGGAACGGAAAGGAAGCGAGAGGAAAGGAAGAGAAAGGAAAGGACAGGAAAAGAAAGGAAAGGAAAGGAAAGGGCAGGAAAGGAACGAAAGGAAAGGAAGGGAAGAACTGAAAGGAAAGGGCAGGAAAGGGCAGGAAAGGAAGGAAAGGAAAGGAAGGGCTGGTTTAGGGCTGATTTAGGGTTGACGTAGGGTTGGTTTAGGGTTGATATAGGGTTGGTTTGGGGTGGATGGCTCTGGGTGGTTTGTGGTTTTAGGGTGGATTTAGGGTTGGTTTAGGGTTGGTTTAGGGTTGGTTCAGGGTTGGTTCAGGGTTGCCTTAGGGTTGGTTTAGGGTTGGTGTAGGGTAGTTTAGGGGTTTAGGGGTTTGGGTTGGTTTAGGGCTGGTTTGGGGTTAGTTTGGGGTGGACTGACCGACCAACCGACCGAGGCGACCGACCGACTGAGAGACCGACCGACCGACCAACCGGGGCGACCGCCGACTGACCGGGGTGACCCACGGACTGGGAAACAGACCGGCCGAGCCAAAACCCTAGCACCACGCAGCAAAAGGGCCGCGCCAAACCTAGGAGAAAAAAACTCGCGGCGCGTGCGCACCATAAACGCCCACCCAAACGCGCACGCAAGCACTCACGCACGCACGCACAGCCAAACAACCAGCCAGCCAAACGCCGTCAAAAAGACGCTGGGCGTTGTCTAATTCCCCAGCGCACCTTGTCCTTGGACTCCTTGGGTTCCTTCTGCTCCTTCGGCTCCAGCCTGGGGATCTTGGCCCGGTTGGCTTCTCTTTTTTTGCACGGGCCGCTCTGTAGAGCGCTTTCAAAGGGAGAACACAACCCTTTCGGAGGTTCTCCCCTGAAACAAGCCCACCTGCGCCCCCCTTTGATTGGCTTCAAGGCTGCCTCCCTTGGACAAAGCCGCAGAGTTGCTTGGACATCACTCGGGGGAAAAGCTGGGGCCGACTGGCAGCTCCATACCGTTTCTGTGTTAAGCTCGGACGTCCCGACGCGCCTCTCAAGTCTGCCGCGGCACGGCGTAAGACCTGAAAGAGCGAGACTGAGGCAACACCGTTTACAGCATTTGCTTTTTGTTTGAGGGAACCCTTTTTGGTTAAAAATGAGCTCGCCGAAAGCAAACCACCTGAGAGTCTTCACAGTAAAGATCGCCCGGGAGATTGCTCAAACAGGTGTCAAGGAGAGACGTCACGTACAGACTGCTCGGAGAGGTTGCACCGAAAAGACTTGCATGCGCAGCAACCTAAGCGGAACACTTGCGCCAGAAAGTTCGCACGCGCGGCTTAAGTTGAAATTTGTCAGTTTGCAGCGCGGCAGGACTGCCCACAGTCTGCGAAACTTTGACCCGCTTGCACATGCGGCACGTCGACCTTCACAAACTATGGAATTTACTACTTTTTGACATCCCCGCGCGACCCTCCGCGCAGATCGGGCGGGTCTAGCTTCAACATCTGACCTCTGCAAGGCAGTGTGCGTGGTAAAAGGCTACTTCTGAAAATCCTGACAGTTTCTGCCTCGTGGGTTGAACGTCTGCTCTTGGAATTGCAATTGTTCAGTATATAAGTGGCCAAGAGGCTTCTGCCAACATGCTGGCGCCAAGCTACCTGCGTTGAGGAAAGACGCGCGCAGAAACTTGCAGACTGCGGCATTTGCGCATAGAGAGTTGTGCAGGGAACTTGCGCAGGGAAAGCGCAAAGAGAGCCTGAGCAGGCCACGTGCACAGAAACAAATCATTTGCGCGCACACGCGCACACACACACACACACCTTGCTCAGAAGAAATTGCGCCAAGAACATCCCAGGATTTTGTTGCGATGCGCAAAGCCACCGTATGAAAAAAACGGCAGCAAGACAGCAGCAAGCATTTCCTAGTGACTGCCAATTTGATCTGTCCAAAGAGAGTGGATGCAGTGTCCTCCAAAGTGGAGTAGAGGACGTATGGAGTGTGTGGTATGGGGCTGCCACGTTGGGTGAGAAAACTCGTGTAAAGGGGGGGGTCTAGAATGCTGCGAAAATTGAACTCTTGTCCACGCATCCGCAAATGCGAGCTCGTGCCAATGTGCTCTAGGGAGTCCTCGACGGAAATAAGAGCTCAGCCTCTTAAAGGAATGGGCTGGGCCGAAAACTGCCTGGTGTTCAAGGGATCTCGAAGGATGTGGCCTAGATATTTAAGCCGGGAACGTAAAATGGATGGGTCGGGGCAAGCAGAGAGGGAAGGTGGGTGTGTGCTTGGGAGGAAAGGAATTCGTTGGAGCATTGCTCCTCTGATGGAGAGAGTACTCGGTGGTAGTATGAGGACTTGATTCCGAGGATTTGTCGAAGTGTGCGGACATGGAGTGTATTGTATTGCCTGAGTTGCGATTCTGTGAAGATCTGGGACTCCGCTGAGTAAGTGAGTATGGATTGGATGATTTGTGCGTAAATGTGGAGCTTCTTTTTGGTGGAAATATGCTTGTGGCGGAGGAAAGGGGCTAGAGCCTTAGCGGCTCCAGTAGCCTGGGAAAGTCGATATCGAGCATCGGAAAGGGAGGAACCAGTAGGCATGAGCCATGCCCCGAGGTTTCTAGGGAATATCGGTTCTGAAAGTTGGACTGTACCGCCACAGAAAGTGCAAGTGCAGGGGTGTTGTGGGTGACAAGAGAAGAGAAATAAACCGGCTGGTAAGAGAAGTGCCCAGGATTGCGTAAGGATAACTTCAAAGGGGCCAGACTCTCCAGAAAGTCGGACCCTGATATTGTCCCAATAACAGGCTTGATTTGGGGAAGCCTGTTACACAGCTACTATTAGGTCCTCTGGGTCTGACTTTCGTCGGCCCGATATAACTTGCACAGAGAGCTTGGCGCAGAAGCCTCATGCCCAGACTTTGCATTTGCCGCGCGCGTACTCATCTCCTAGACTTGGCACGTGTCTGCTTTCGTGCTCCCCTCCTCCAGCTTTTTTCGTTGGGAGGTCCCCCCGCCCACCCCCCATTTGAGAGACACCATGTTGAGCCGTCCTGCCTACGAATGGCAACACCTTCAAATTTTGGGGCACCCATTTGGGTGTGGATTTCAACTCGCAATCCTTTGGTGGAGAATGATTCGCGTGGGGATTTATGTGCAACAGCTGCTTCAGTCATGCTTCGGGTGGTCTAGCCCACTGCAAGTCTGCACTCAGCCCCGAGCCCACAGAAGAGGGAGAAGTCATAGAGCGCGCCTGACTGCAAATCCATCCAAATGAAAATGCATTGTGACAAATCGCCGACCCGGATCGTAGAGAGTCGCATTTTCCACCTGATGAACGAGCCCTCTATTCGGATCCTCAGGGATCACAATAGCAGTGCTCAGGCTATCACCCCCCGACAGAAAGCGCGTAAACCAACCACAAACCAGGCTGAACTACAGACTGTCTTCCCTTGGTGCTCTTCCCGGCGTCGCTTTTAGAGCAAACACCCAACGCCAGCTCCCAAACCCCATGCCACCGTTGGACCTGTTGAGGGGTTCGGGGCCCGAGCCGTGGCCACCGTCTCGGCGTCCGCGTTGTCCTGGCCCTGGCTGGCCGTATTCAGGGCGTAAGAGCTAATTCGGGCTCCTTTGCTGAAGTGGCTCGAAGTAGAGCCCTATTTCCCCCTTCCGTTCCAAAATTCAACTTTTCCCGCCCAAACAGGGCTAAAGAGCGGGAGAAGGAAAAAAAAAAGGACCGACGACACCGCGTTCGAAAATGGAAAAGAACGATGCTATGTAACAGAACGATGAGTGTGAAACAGAACGATGAGTGTGGAGCAGAACGATGCATCGTCTGATCCAACAGCTGAGGGAACAGAACGATGCTTTCACGAAGTGCGCAACTGCGAAAATGGTTGGTACTGCAAGGTTAGAATGTTGCGTCTTTCTGGTGGCTGCTTCCGTGCTATCAACGATTCAGTCTCCCCCATCCATATCTGCGCAATCGGCGTTGCATTGCGTGTGATGTGCAAAGCGCATCGCCCCTTGCGATGTCTATGAATCAGGGGGAACTCCCTCCAGGAATCTGGTTCCAAATGGGAGGATCCCTAGTCCTGCTCCGCAATCCGTAGACTGCACTACACCAAGGGAAGCACTACACTATGGCATGAGGAAGGTTGATTTCCTTCGCACCTACCCGGTTCCGCGGGGGAGAGAATAACATCTGACTAGTACCCCCTCTCGGTTGCCATGATATACGGTTCCCGCATGGGTCGCTGGAATCTGTGCAGGATGAGTTCAGGGGTCGAACATTCTGTCAAAATGTAAGCAAACTGGCCTGGACACATGCAAAAAACAAGGGCTGGATCCGCCAAGACTCGGGAAGTCATGGTTTTCCAGGCTGAGGCATTCGTGGTGATGATGTTTGGCGGCTTCAAGCGAGCTTGTCTTTTTGAATTACCTTTTTGTTAGAATTGTGCTAAAGGCAAACCAAACGAATACAAATGAGTTTAGGTTTCTTGGATTGAGCCGGACAAAGCCAAGTAGCGTCAGTTGACATCAATCTGTCCGCCCAAGATCATGGGGATCTGCGTCAAGTTTGAATCCAGACTGCTCAGACGCACTGCCCTCTTAGAAATGAGGCTATGAATAAGGTTCAAAATGGGACAGGGAAGCCAACTTCACATGTTTGCCAACATCCTTTCATAAGGCAAAAACTTCAGGGAAGGACCTACACACAAACATCTGACGGATGCCGAAAGCACCATGGATCCTTACGCATGTCCACTTGAGCCACGGCCATGCAGTCTCAACATGGGAACTTGGGAATGCCCTTCCCTTTCGGAAACAGTTGACACTCGGGTGTCTTCATCGGAAGCGTTTTTTGGGGTTGTGGGAACCAATGGAAAGTCAGACGTTTTGAAGGTTGTCTCAGGCGTTGGCGTCCCAAGGTTTGGTCTTTCCAAGGTCAATTTCGGGCGCAGCTTCCCCGCATGCCGGCGCCTTCTCTCGCAGCAGCAAGGCGCGCATTGCGTGGCTTGCCTCGGGCAGAGCTTGGGAGCCGGACCTCTGCCAGACTATTGTTTTTGTTTTCGAGGTTTAGGGATTTATTGGCTTCATGGGGGTGTTTCTCAGAATTTGGGACACCGGTGGCGTTCTTTTGGTTTCCCGGGGAAACACCATGCAACAAGTTGTGAGGAACCTCATGCAAGAACAACGTAAAACTGCGCCATCCAAAAGCCCTAAGGCCGCCCACCGCGGAGGACCTCTCCGAGGACTGGCTCGGCGAGCAGTCGGAGCCAGCGTCCTCTCCGACATCTTTCGAACGGGAAACGAAGCCCTGGCTTAAACTCATGGGAAACCACCAGAATGTTGACTCCAGATTAATGAGCCCCGGATTGACTTTGATTTTTTCAGGGGTGTCCCTGGTTTTCGTGATTCATCACTTTTGGCGGGGTCCACAGGGCAAATCGCCTTCCCTTCCATTTCATGGACGCGGGCGCGACGGCCAAGTTGCTTGATCACTTCTCAGCTTACCCCTATATTCGTGCCTTGGTTTGGTTTGTACCTTCGCATTTGGTTCAAAACCAATAGTGGGGAATCCCCAAACCAACTCACACCGCAATTTGTTGTTTTTCTCAATCAACCTGATAGAGGCCACAAACCCGAATGCAGACACACGCAACCCCAAAAGGCGTTCCCAAAGACAACCCCAACGACATGACTGGACAAACACCCTAATTTGAGACAATCAACAACAAAAACACTGCGGAAGATGTTCCCAAAGCTATGTCCAAGACATGTCTCAGTGGGTGCAGGATCAAAAAATAATTATTTACGGGATCAAAAAGAAATTATCGACACCCGGATCAAAAACAAATTATTTACAGGATCAAAAACAAATTATCTCGCCTGGGGGTGCCAAAGCGCTGTAATTTACATCATTTTCGGGCAACAGCGCGCGCATTTTACGGCTCCAGCTGTAAAATAGACACTTTCCAATACAAGCGCAGTACGCGAAGGTCACTTTGGCAGCTCCAGTTCGAAAATCACAACTTTTCAGATACAAGCGCAGTTCTATCAACGAATCTAGCATCGGTTAAATGCCTGTAGGGTTAATGTAGGTTGGGTTTCGGGTGGGTTTGGGGTGGGTTCAGGCTTGGTTTAGGGACGGTTTAGGGTTGGTTTAGGGTTGGTTTAGGCTGGGTTTAGGGTTGGCTTAAGGTTGTGTAGGGTTGGTTTCAAGGTGGGTTTGGGGTTGGCTTAGCTTGGTTTAGGGTTGGTTTAGGGTTGGTTTAGGTTGGGTTTAGGGTGGTTCTAGGTTGGCTTCGGGTAGGTTTAGGGTGGGTTTAGGGTTGGTTTGCGGGTTTAGGGTGGGTTTAGGGTTGGTTTAGGGCTTAGGGTCGGTTGAAGGTCAGTAGTTTAAGGTGGGTTTAGGGTTGGATGAGGTTTGGTTAGGGTTGCTTTAGGGTTGGTTTAGGGATGGCTCAGGCTGGGCTACTGGGATAGGGTCGTACTTATAACTTGAGTTATAAGTTACTACAAGTGGACTTATAACGTGGGACAAGTGGACTTATAAGTTTGCTAAGTCCGAGGATAGTGATAAGTTACTTGTCTATGTTTAACTTAGATAGGCCCACTTATAAGTTCGAGCTAAGTTCCGGGTGCCGGGACTTAGAATGAACTTAGCTGGGACTTAGCTTTTTAGCACCTTTTGAGGAAAACAGCCTTCGGTCATTCAGCGCTTGCGAAGCAATGTCCCAAACGCGTCTACCTCGCTGAGTCTACGTGTCTGCCTGCGTGCGAAAAAGCACGCGTGCGCTACCCCTGACATGTTGCGGACCACATCGCTGAACGAGAGAGAAAGCCTGACACCGGACTACGCGCGCGCGCATCATTTTTCGAGACGTACGGTCGCTCCCGGCTAGACCGCGCAGGGCGGAACACGGCGTAGCGGCGGCGGGGCCGCTTCCATGTTTGGAAAACACATCGCGGCAGGACCGCGCAGCGACCATCGCGGCAGGACCGCGCAGTGAGCCATCGCGGCAGGACCGCGCAGCGAGCCATCGCGGCAGGACCGCGCAGCGACCATCGCGGCAGGACCGCGCAGCGACCATCGCGGCAGGACCGCGCAGCGACCATCGCGGCAGGACCGCGCAACGACCATCGCGGCAGGACCGCGCAGCGACCATCGCGGCAGGACCGCGCAGTGAGCCATCGCGGCAGGACCGCGCAGTGAGCCATCGCGCATGCAGTTTACGCTGTTTGTTCGCGCTGCTTCGCACGCTTGGCTCGATGGAGCCGGAGCATTTTTTGCACTGATTGACTCGGTTTAATTTTGTTGTCCAATAATCGTTTCTATAGCGGTGTCTCCGCTGGCGGCCGGTCCGCCTTCATATAGTCGCATGGGGTGGTTTCTCCGCCGGCGGCCGGTCCGCCCATTTTGCTTTTCTCGTTTGATGATATATCATTGTAGCGGTGGTTCCGCTGGCGGCCGGTCCGCCAAGCTTTTTTTGCCACGTTCATTTTCATTTCGAGATGGCACTTGAAGCGGTTGTCCGCTGGCGGCTGGTCCGCCCAGGAATTGTTCGGCGTGATTTTTATTTCGAGATGGCACTTGAAGCGGTGGTCTGATGGCACCTTGCGATTTTTTGCATGTTTGGATTGTGAGTGCGCGGGTGAAAGGCTGCAAGACTCAATCAAGGCTCCAGAATCCAGACTGCTGACTGCAAACTCCACACTCCAGACTGCAGACTCCAGACTGCAGACTCCAAACTGCAGACTCCAGACTGCAAACTCCAGACTCCAGACTGCAAACTCCAGACTGCAGACTCCAGACTGCAGACTCCAGACTGCAGAGTCCAGACTGCCAACTCCAGAATCCAGACTGCAGACTCGAGATTCCAGATTCCAGACACAATGATGGCTCCAGGATCCTGATCATTTTGTGGTGGAATTCGGCCACGGGGCCAAGTTAAGTTATGTTAAGTCGTGGTGACGCAACTGGGCCTCACGGGGAAAGTTTGGCAGTTAAGTTGATTGAGTTACAATAGGGACTCCACGGCTCCACACGACCCGCCCAGGTTAAGTTAAGTTAAGTTTTGTTAAGTTCGAAAAAACTGCACCGGCCTTTCCGGGCTTTGGGGCGGGGCTGTCTGGATGCTGGATTCTGGGGTCTGGACTGTGAATTCTGGAGTCAGGAGTCTGGATTCTGGAGTCAGGAGTCTGCAGTCTGGAGTCTGCAGTCTGGAGTCTGCAGTCTGGAGTCTGCAGCCTGGAGTCTGCAGTCTGGAGTCTGGAGTCTGCAGTCTGGAGTCTGGAGTCTGGAGTCTGCAGTCTGTCTGTGGAGTTTGCATTCTGGAGCCTGGAGTCTGCAGTCTTGATTCTGGAGTTGGCAGTCTGGAGTCTGGAGTCTGCATCGGGGTCAGTCTGGAGTCTGGAGTCTGCAGTCTGCAGTCTGGAGTCTGCAGTCTGGAGTCTGCAGTTTGGAGTCTGGAGTTTGCACTCTGGAGCCTGGAGTTTGCAGTCTGGAGTCTGCAGTCTGGAGTCTGGAGTTTGCAGTCTGAAGTCTGCAGTCTGGAGTCTGCAGTCTGGAGTTCGCAGTCCGGAGTCTGCAGTTTGGAGTCTGCAGTCTGGAGTCTGCAGTCTGGAGTCTGCAGCCTGGAGTCTGCAGTCTGGAGTCTGCAGTCTGGAGTCTGGAGTTTGCAGTCTGGAGTCTGCAGTTTGGAGTCTGCAGTCTGGAGTCTGCAGTCTGGAGTGTGGAGTTTGCAGTCAGCAGTCTGGATTCTGGAGCCTTGATTGAGTCTTGCAGCCTTTCATCCGCGCACTCACAATCCAAACATGCAAAAAATCGCAAGGTGCCATCAGACCACCGCTTCAAGTGCCATCTCGAAATAAAAATCACGCCGAACAATTCCTGGGCGGACCAGCCGCCAGCGGACAACCGCTTCAAGTGCCATCTCGAAATGAAAATGAACGTGGCAAAAAAAGCTTGGCGGACCGGCCGCCAGCGGAACCACCGCTACAATGATATATCATCAAACGAGAAAAGCAAAATGGGCGGACCGGCCGCCGGCGGAGAAACCACCCCATGCGACTATATGAAGGCGGACCGGCCGCCAGCGGAGACACGCTATAGAAACGATTATCGCACAACAAAATTAAACCGAGTCAATCAGTGCAAAAAATGCTCCGGCTCCATCGAGCCAAGCGTGCGAAGCAGCGCGAACAAACAGCGTAAACTGCATGCGCGCGCGCCTGCCCTGCTGCGTTGAGTCACACGAAAATGTGTGATTTCCAGCGCGTAATGCTTCATCACTGCCATGCTTCAAAACGCATGTGTTTGCAAACTCAATGAACTTAGAATGAACTTAGCGGACTTAGAAAAACCTCTTTTCTAAGTTCAAGATAAGTTACTTATAAGTCCAAGCTAAGTGCTAAGTCACTTATATCTCCAGCGTAAGTACGACCCTATCCCAGTAAGGCTTGGTTTAGGGTGGGTTTAGGTTTGGTTTGGGGCTTGAAAGTTGTTTAGGGTTTTTAGGGATAATTTAGGGTTGGTTTCGGGCAGGTTTAGGGCGGGTTTAGGGTTGGCTTAGGTTGGTTTTGGGTCTGTTTAGTGTAGTTTTCGGGTGGGCTTAGGCTGGGTTTAGTGCCGGTTTACGTGGCTTAGGGTTGGTTTAGGGTTGGGTTAAGGGATGGTTTAGGCTAAGTTTACGGTGGTTTGGGGTAAGTGTAGGGTAGGGTTAGGGCAGGTTTAGGGTTGGTTTAGGGTTGGTTTAGGCTGGGTTTAGGGTTGGCTTAAGGTTGTGTAGGGTTGGTTTCAAGGTTGGTTTACGGTTAATTTTGGTTGGGTTTCGGGTGGGTTTGGGGTTTCGGGTGGGTTTGGGGTTGGTTTAGGATTGGTTTAGGGTGGGTTTAGGTTTAGTTTAGGGTCTGTTTAGGGTGGGTTTAGGGTGGGTTTAGGGAGGGTTTTGGGTTTGTTTGCGGTGGGTGGATTTTGGTTGGTTTAGGGTAGGTTTAGGTTGGGTTTCGGGTTGTTTTAGGTTGGCTGAGGGTAGGTTTAGGGTAGGTTTAGGGTGGGTTTAGGATTGGTTTAGGGTTGGTTAGGGCGGGTGTAGGGTTGGTTTAAGAGTTGCGCAGGGTCGGTTTCAAGGTTGGTTTGTAGGTTGGTTTTGGGTTGGTTTAGGGTGGGTGTAGTTTGGTTTAGGGTCGGTTTCGGGTAGGAGAGCAGGCCAGGAGACCAGCAGACCAGGAGACCAAGAGACCAAGAGACCAGGAGACCAGGAGACCAAGGACCAGGAGACA